ATAAAAAATTTTTGGCTTTTAATTATTAACACCAAAATGGTCTTATGATTTAAATGCATATACTGTCTATATGCATAAAAAAGTCTCTGGTGGATGGCATACAATTAGACAGTACGTATCGACTGTACATTTAAGGGCCTAATTTTTAAAAAATGATATAATAACAAAAGACAAATTTACAGTATACATGTGCCAAATATACAGTTATAACAAACGAAAAATTAACATTCACCACCATATTTTTCTAGGAGAAGAAAAAAAAGTTAGCTTGAATATTACATTATAAACCAGTCAAGAATTAATTTTTTTTTTACCATCGTATAATTTTTCAGCAGACTCTTTTGCGTGCTTTTTTGCTTTCATTTTATCAATTGCATCTAAACCTTTTGTCTCAATGAGTTTTTCTGCTTCAGCGGCAGCAAATGCTGCGAATGCCTATTATTATAAAATAAAAAAATAAATATATTAACATACAAATACAAATAATTCAGTAAACTGGAATGATACGCACCTCTTTAGCGAAAGCAAATTTATCTTTTTGTCCAGTTTCTTCTTCATGCTTTTTTTCGTAGTGCCTCATGGCTTCAAAAGCTGCGGCACCAGCGATTATTTCATGAGTAAGATGTCCCTTGTGTTTTTTTTCTTCGAAGTTTTTTTCTTGGTATATATCATCATGATGATCTTTGAAGAAATCAAACAATCCTAAAAAGCAAAATAAAGAATTAATAATAAGCAGATATGACTGAAAAAAATAACGCTACGATTATTTACCCATGATTAGTTTTTTTTTGATTTAAAAAAGCGTGAGGTAAAATGTACGTAAAGATGAAAATTAAAAACCCTTAAGCAATTCACGGAAGTTTTTATAGGAGTTTCATATCGGATGTTGTCATCAGAATGACGAGTCGATTTAATAACATCATCTAGTAAGACGTGGTACATTCAAATAAGAAACAAAGAATATAAAACGACATTTTTACATCCTAATATTGAAATTCCCACGTCTCAATTTGAAGTCATTATAATTCTTATCTATGTAAAGCAAGATAAATTATCTCCATTTAGCGACGCCCTATATCAAAAGATGAATGTCGTACTCGTGAAAAACAGATGCTGTGAGACATAATTCTTGTCAATAACGATAAAAATGTGTCAAAAATATTTATTGTTTTGATTCACTAACGCTAATGCTAATGTATAAATGCACTAGTTAAGACTATGAGAGACGGTACGCATAAGGCTTATGTATTGACTAAGCCTTGATGTAAATGCCAAGAAATACTTACGTAATACATACCCTAAAAATATGGAAAGTTAGAGTTAGTGCTAACGGTTAATATTAAAAACTATTCTATGCATGTAAAATTCTATCGATATAGTTTCATAACGACCAAATAAAACCGTGTTTAGTTGACGTGTTTCATTGATGAAAATATCTTTTTTATCAAGTAGCATACATAATTGCATATACTGTATATAGTTAATTATTACGTAATTAATCAAATTATTTTTAATTAACTAAGATTAGTCTGTCCGACCATTGAGAGGAGGTTCTTGGCGATGCCTTAAATATATATTTAGTTTATGATTTGATTTTACGTACTACATATACAATTCTTTTTGTCAATATAACAAAGGAAATATTTTGATGGTCTATAGCCCACAGCACTACTCTTATAAATCACCGTATCAAGACCTGGGTCTCTTACATCCAGTGCACAAAACCTATTGTAAATGCCGGTGATTTCCGTTTACAGCTGTATCATAAATTCTGGGATACCTGACATAAACTAGTAGAATGATTTTTCGGTTGATTCAATAAGTCAGTTTTGCGAATTACTGGAATTGAGGGATGACTAAAGCCATGTACCCACGTGATTTTTCGAAATTTTAATTAAAACTAGTAAATTGCCTTTGGGTTCTAATAAAAAAAATTCCTTGTGCAATTTTACTACAGAACACCCTTTTCTAGCCTTAACATATGCGCGAACACTAATATAAATGAGCTTTTTTGTTCGAAGATAATAGACTCGAGATCCTATGCCCTGTCAATTTCGAGCATTCCGAAACTAGGTTTCACTCCAAGTACAACTCTAGATGAGGCAATATTATATCATTCATGATTGCAAATTGAAGAAGCTGAAATATCGTTAGATAGAGTCACTCAAATTCCACTGTTGATTATTAATAAAATTTCAAGGAAAAATTTCAAGCTGAACTACAATGATTAATTGTATACCACTCATTGGCTTCTTTCAAATTTCTTCGCAGTTTCTTTTTTTTTGATGAGGTTTGTTGTAGAGAAAATGGCACGGCAAAAAAATTTGGCATGCCAGATGGCATGCATTGCTAAAATTCGTGCCAACCTGTCATGTCATTATGCCACGTGATAGGTATACTCAATTTAGATTGGTCAGTTATCACGTACTACAGTGGGGACAGTATAAGATATCCACTTTTCATTTTATTATAAGGC